ATTAATATTCATATAACACGTCCTTATCTTCAAAATCTTATCCTATATCTTGAAATCAAGAATCCTACCAATTTTCCAACATGTTCTAATTTAAATTCTAACACTTCATACTTCTTAATTTAACTGATGACAAGTCAATTTTAGTCTCAAATTTTACTTACTAACTCAGTTCCAATATTTCACTTATAAACCTCTTATCTTTAATCATTCCTAACTCCTTCATCTTTTAATTTTAAGACCACTTAAGCTTTCCTTAAGCTTAAATAGAACTCAAAGAACAAAACCCAACTTAAAATCCAAGAAATAAACTGCTAAATCTTAACTCACCTTTGGAGCTGGAGCTAACGGGAAGAAGAAGAAAGAAAGAAGAAACAAGCTTCCAGATATCTCTCTCAAGTCCCACGTGTTTATCTATTAATAAAGGAGATAAAATATCCTTTAAGCTAAAAATACCATAATGCCCTTCACTCCTTCCATATTTATTATTTAATCCAATACTAAAATATTCATATTTAAGTCCCTAAACTTTTCCATTTTTCTTAAATTAGTCACTAAATTTCATAAACTTTCATTTCAGTCATTATTCCGATTATTGGGGTGTTACAAGAATTCTCGGCAAAAATCGAATGAGGCAAGGGAGAGAGAACCTCTAAGATATCATCCGAGGAGTTAATAGCGGTCATGGTTGACGTTGGCTGGGTGGAGAAGTGAGTTGAGGGCTTGGGATATGTCGCGAACTAGCAGGGGACATTGCTATAAGTGACAATAGGAGAATTGATGAGATCAGTGCTACGAAGACTGTCGTATGGGCTATGTGGCGAGGTGACAGGGCTGGTCGGAGAGTTACCAAACGGCGGCAAAAGCAAATGGGTCTTGTTGAATGGCCGTAATAAACAGGAGTGTTGCCGCTGTGATAAGGGCATCGCTGTAAGGGAGACACCGCAAGGAAGGCGCTGTGAGGAGGATGGGTCATGCTGCAAAGGTGGCGGTCCAGCGAGGAATTCATCAACGGTGTTGCTGCGATGGGGACTGCACAACAGAGAAGAAGGCGCATCAACGAAGACACGCTGATGATCGAGGTTTGTCACCCGGTGGTAGGAGTAAATTTAGGATCGACGCCGGCAACTGATAACATGTAAATAACCGTAAAGCCATAGAATATGAAGAGAATAATTATCTTTTATCTTGATAATTGTTATTGAATTTACGGGAGTACATGCCTACTTTTATGCAATTCATGGAGTTAGTTCACTACTAGAACTATATTACCTTGTAGAGTCTTACTCTAATACAATATCCTAATTATTAGGAATAGAATTAGAATTAATCTTGGGAAACCTATTCAATCGTACAACTAACAAAGTGTGTTTCAGATAATTCAAATAATGAACTCCTTAGGAAGGACCTGCATAATAGTTCTCCGGTGAGTCCTAAATCTTGAATTCCCAAATAGTTAATAAGGATTTTCTTTCTTGATGCTATAATATGTTCTTTCGACTTCATATGAAGACCTGCATTCATGATATCTTTCTTTTCCCAACCATTATCTTCTTATGATTATGCTGTCTTTCCTTGGATTGTCATCCTTGCAGGTGAAGGATCACCATAGTAAACTGGTCTCTAGAACTCTGTCATCGCTTTTCTTACCGAGACTGATGCGACTAGAGTTTGTCAACTCAATAACAAAGATAGTCCATGACTTATTTCGACATCTACATCAGACATAAGTGGATACAAGCTTACCTTTTGCCTGCTTATCTAATTCGTTGAATAAACTAACTCCATGAATTGTATGAAAGTAGTTCATTATTTACATAAGCAAAATGACAGAACAATTCAGAGTAAGTAGTTCTTACCAGAGCTCGTTTTATCTCTTCCTTTTTTTTCTAATAGCTCATCATTTACATAAGCTGACATAGATGCCTTTGAAATTTCATTTTTGGTGACAGAGAAACATGCAAAAACTCAGGGAAGGAGCACAAATGCAAGTTTTGGAGTCTGATCATATTATCATTTGCGGTTTAAACGGTTGTATGTCTTTCATTCTAAAGCAACTAGATCGATCTCATGAATTCGCTGTGCGTTTAGGGACTGCTACAGCAAGGTCAACATTATGCCCCCACCGTATTTTTTATTTCCTTTTTTTCATGCATAATTATTCGTTTCGACACACATTATATTTTCATAGGAGGCAGAGGATTCTTCTTATGTCAGATCTTCCGAGAAAGCAAATGGACAAACTAGCTGACAACGTTGCCAAGGATCTTAACCATATTGATGTCCTTACAAAGAGGTACAAGAACAATGTCCTCCTCACCAAACATACAAACTTCATAAAACGTATTTGATTCGAAGTGTATTCGATTCATTTCATTAAGTTTCCATTTCTTAAACATTGGCTTTTGCTTGTGCAGTTGTAGACTTAGTTTGACAAAATCATTTCAAAGAGCAGCAGCCAATAAGGCACGCACCATTGTCATATTGCCTACAAGAGGAGACCAGTAAGACCTCTATCGACTTCTTTTCAAAGAACCATGTTGCGAAGTTTAGTTGAAGATTTACGTAATAATATTATGTTTCCAGGCTTTGCTACGCTCACGTTTAGTGATGACTGTTTGTTAACTGATTAGGTATGGAATTGATTCTGATGCATTTCTATCTGTATTAGCACTTCAAAGTATTCCCAAGGTCGAATCTGTACTGACAATTGTCAAGGTATTTTCATTTTCATAACCATGGAAATAATAGTACTCGATGAGAAATGTCGAGTTTAATTTTGGTCCTTCATTTTTCTGATGCAGGTTTCAAATTCCACAACATGTGAGCTCTTAAAGTCAATCTCCGGACTGAAAGTCGAGCCAGTAGAAAATGTCGCTTCTAAAATATTTGTTCAATGTTCTCGGCAAAAGGGGCTCAGAAAGATATATAGGCACTTATTTATAAAAGTAAAGCACAAGATCTCATTGACAGTTGTTATTATTGTGATGTTGGAAAGACACAGAGCATAAGTGCATAACGATTATGATGTCCTGTTTACTTCTCGACTCTTAGATATTTCAGGATGGTTCTGATTCTTTTAGCTCGACCTATAAAACTCGGTATCGTTGTCCATGTCATTGTGCTCTATTTTTCTTCACCGTCACTAACTAGTGCCGTGTTATTGCAGAGAACGTATTCAATCTTTGCCGTTTTCCTAGTCTAACAGGACTGACTTATAGAAAAATAAGACGGGGTTTCCATGTGGTAACACTTTCCGCTTAACTTTGTGTTCGTAGAGGTAAGAACTTCCGTGCTGTTTCCTTGTGTTGGTTTCTTTTCAGGCAGTTGTTTGTGGTATTTATCGGGATGGTCAGATATACTTCCATCCCAAGGATGATGAAATTCTGTAGGATGGACTGTGTGGTTTGCAGGACCGAAACGTAATCTTTTCCTTTTGGAACAGAAATATGACTTGTCGATTTATCGGATAGCTAAACATCGTACCCTTGAAGAAATCATTATCGCTTTCCCTTGTTGTGATTTCTGATAGAAATTTCTTCTAGGAGGTAATGATCATTAATAGTTGATGTTTCTATCAGTAAATTTATCCTTCAAGGAATTATTTACTTTTCAGAGCCATCTAGAGCAGACAAGCAATCTGCATACTCTCTTCTTCTTGCCGAAAATATCTGCAACAAACTCGGAGTGACGGTAAGTTTGTTTCACTGTAATCCTCGATAATCTCATGATCTTGAATTTTAATATCCGTGACAAACTAGTTCGAGAATGGTTGTCGAGTGTTCTGCAGGTGCAAAATTTGTTTGCAGAGATAGTCTACTGGAAATTAGGCAAACAAGTAATTTGAACTTTTCTTATTTCATTATCTTCGATTTTTGAGGTTTTTCACGTATTGTTGAAGTGCTTCAATCAAACCCTGCAGATTATGAGAATCAAGCTATATCTAACTTATATTGCAGCCGAGGAAGTAACGAGTCTCGCAACAGCTCAAGGTCTTGATGTTACATGAGCAATATTCATATTGTTTCGATGTTTAATCTTTTAAAAATAACTGTATGTGTTGCATAACAGTGGCCAAGCACAGTGATCTTAATGAGGTTTGGAAAGACATTTTGAATGCTGAAGGTAATGAAATATACGTGAAGGTAATGGCAACTTTCCGTTAAAGTAATCTGCTACAATGTTACTTAACGATAAATTAATCCTTCATACATGTAAAAATGACCTTAGAAAAACGTTGTGGAGGTGCTACTTACCTATTTCTTGACAGGATATTGGTCTTTACATGAAAGGACAGAACCCATCGTTCTGAGCTAACCAAGAGAGCATGCTCAAGAAGTTGCGATAGGATACGTGAAGGACAATCGATAGGTGCCCAAGGCTCTTGCTCGATTCTAAACATGTTTTACTTCAATGCTTAATCGGGTCTTCGTTGCACCACAGGTTATTAACCCAACTCCAAAGACAGAACCTCTCTCCATAGAAATGACTGATTTACTGATAGTCATATCCGAGCTTGAAGGTGAGCAACCTATTGTCGTCTGACATGCAAGTAACTCCGGTCATTCTTGTCCCCCATTGCACTTTTTCTGTTTTAGTTTTTCAATAAGCTTTTTTGGTTCCAAAGGTGTCGATTCGTCGACAGTTTGCATCATTGGGCTGAACTATGATGTTTTAGTTTCATAGTTAAGGCGTCCCATGAAACCATCACCTTTGATCTACTTTTAATCTTAGATTGCTGTCTGTCGTAGGAAAAATGTTGTTAATTTTGTAGGGAAATCAATACTTTTTTTTCCGCTCCCAAGAACACTACTGTTACTTTCTATATCAAAAGTAAATGAAAAAGAAACACTTGGATGAGTCCAAGCAGTAGAATTAAAAAAATACAATCATATAATATTCTCGATGCAAAGAAAGGGGGGGGGGTTGAGAATGGTTCACAGGGTAGCCACCCGGTAGATTCGGGAGTCCGAGGGAGATGTTGGTGAGGTCGTGGTCTCCATGCATGGTGGTTGACCAGGAACAGTTTCAGTTCTATTTGAGAAAAATACAAAACTAGAACATCTGACCCTTAATCATCAGTGGATTCTATTTCCAGACATGGGATGTGAGATATCATAGGCCAGTATGCCCCTTTACCTTCCAAACAATGTAGTTTCAGAAGTTGACAGTCCCTGATGCAAAATCTTCCAAGGTCTGCAGGTAAGCCTTCCTTCGGTAAGCACTGAAGTTTAGGACACTCGGAGATTTCCAGCTCTTTAAGCAAGGTCAGATCACAGAGCCGCACGGACAGAGATCGCAAATTATGAAGTCTTGATATATACATAGACATTAGACTTGTGGGAAGCAGGCACATTTCATCTGGAAAGGAAACTATATCAGGTGCACCGGCAATGGTCAAATCGCTGAGAGAGGCCAGATCGTGCAGGTTCCATTCCGACAACGGTTGCTTAAGATTTTCACAGTTCCAGATCTTGAGTGCCAATAGGTTAGGAGGCCAGCCAGCTTTGGGAAATGACACAAGACCAGGACACTCACCGATTGTTAAATAATTAAGGGAGGTGAGACTTAACATCTGATCAGGAAGGGACTTGAGACTGCTGCACTCGTAGATATCAAGTTTTCTCAGGTTGGGAAATTGCAAGCCGGTTTCTGGGAAGTATTTTAGAGCAGTACACTTGTGTAAGTTCAATTCAGTCAGATGCGTGAGACAGTTTATGCACCCGGGCAAGCATGTCATTGTCGAGCAATTAAAGACACTAATGAGCTCGAGTGACCCATTTTTGGGCAGCATCGTATCAGAAAGGGGTTCCAATCGAAAGCATCTCCATATCTTAAGTATTTTAAGGCTGCTGGGAAATTTGCCTTCTGGAAATGAAATGAGAGAAGGGCAACCGACGATCTCCAAGTTCTCGAGATGAGATACGTTGCTTGTGCTGTTATCGATCTGCATCAGTCCCTGTGGTAGAGAAACTAGAGCTTCACAGAACCTGATTTTCAAACGTCGAAGTACAGTCGGTAACCTGCCATTTGCAAAAAATGTGAGAGCCGGACAATCTTCGATCTCCAATTCTTCGAGAGGACAACTAAGCATCGTAATTGCACTAGGCAGAAACTTTAGACTCTGGCAATCTTTGAGCGTAAGATGTTTCAGCATGGGAAAGAACCCTGTCTCAGAAAACCGTGAACAGTTCTTAATTTTCAGATGCTCTACAGCAGTAATATTCAACAAAATATCACCCGCCGCCTGTAATGATGTCAATCCGATGCAACTGGAAATGGAAAGAACTCTAAGTGCTCCCGAAGACCGGACAACCCCATTCTGAAGATGCTGAAGTACAGGCAGACCCTTGGTTGTGACAGCTGTTAAAGAGGATGGGCCGAGAATGCTACCCAGCAACTCTTCATTGGAATCTTCTACATTTAACTCGTTAAGAGACGGTAAACTCATCGATGAAGATTCTAATTTCGGGCAATGCTTAATTACAAGTTTCACGAGAGAAAGAAGACGACCAGGTAACTTTCCAATCAACTTGGGACAATTCTCTACCGTGAGCTCGCGGAGACAAGGGAATTCTTCCCCCGAGTCTTCATTAGCTCGGCTAGGAGAAGACCAGCACGTCCATTCCAACATATCCTTAAACCGTAGAATTTCCAAAGATGGAAAAGGATTAACACATGTAAAACCATGTCCATAAAACGTCAAATCCACCTTCTGGACTCTATCCATTCCTACTATGGACAATATTTTTAGTGAGGGTAATCTCCCAAGTGATGGAAGTAATATGCTGTTTCTGCAATTAAGGAGTTCTAACCACACTATGTTAGTCAATGAAGGATCACCTAACCAAGAAGGAAACATTTTACCACCATAGAACAGAATTCTCAGTTTTTCCATATTCTTACCAGGCATCAGACTTTCGAGAACATGCATTTGACCTTCCTCGTTTTCAGAATTAAGGGACTCGTCACTCCATTGCAGATCCAACTCGGTTAAGCCATCCTTGTCCTTGAGGTTCCCATTGCTAGCATCTCGGAAATCTGCAACATTTTCCAACCCCGAGATGGAAAGCTTCCCCCGCAAATTCAACAAGCCCCTCAATTCACTAACAGCAGATCCAATGCCCTTGCCAACAATTAATTTGGATAAAATCTGAAGATTCTTCAATTTTCCGATCTTAAACGGCATATCCTGTAAATTACTAGTACCGGCAAGATCAAGAACATGCAGGTTCACCAGATTTTCGATAACTCGTGGCAAATTAGTAAGTTCTGTGCAGCCGTGCAACTTCAACGTTTGCAAGTTGATAAGCGAACCCACAGATTGAGGTAACTGTTTAATTCGACTGCGAGACAAGTTCAGGTAGCGTAATTGCTTCAAATGACCGATGGAATTCGGTAGCTCACCAATGGAATAACCACTCAGACATAGTACTCTTAAGCATCTCAACCTTGACAGCATATTCTGCAAGACATCAGCACTCAAATAGCAACAAGCTCCCCAAGTCGGCATACAAGTAGGTAATGCAGCCAACGTTCTCAATTTCTTCGTCTGACGGAGGACTTCGAATCTTTTTGCGACATCGTATTGTTTACGAGTGAATGCTAAATAACGAATCCTTTCAACAGCGATGCATAACTTATCACCCTCAAGCATATCCATGTCCTCGAGATTAAAGCATATATCTCTGGAAACGGATTTAGCCAAGTCATTTATGAGGTCATGCATCACAAATTGCGTTTGGTTGCTGCTCGATTGTTGGAAAAACGATCGCGAGAGTAACTCGTTAAAACATTTTGAACCTAAATCCTCCATTCGTGCACCTCCTCTTGGCTGTTGTAAGAAACCCTCCGCCATCCACAAGAGAACCAGCTCGTCCTTGTCGAATTCGTTATCCTTTGGGAATATGGCGCAATAAGCAAAGCATCGTTTCAAAAGGGAAGGAAGATGAAGGTAGCTCAATCTCAGAGCCGGCATTATGCCAGTTCTTTTGTCAGGCAAATCCCATATCTTGCTCGTCAGTATGTCCTCCCATTCACCCTGATTCACTTTAGTCCTAAGTAGTCCTCCCAAGGTCTTAGCGGCAAGTGGCAACCCTTTGCACCTTTCCACTATCCGCTCGCCAACGGCTTTTAAATTCGGGTATTCATCGAAATTCTTGGCTCTGAGAGCATGACAGGTTAATATCAAGAGACAATCATCATTCGACAGTTTCTTCAAATGGTGCCGGCATCCCCCACAGCTAGCCGCAACCGATTCATTCCGAGTCGTGACCAGTATTTTACTCCCGGCAGCCCCTGCAGCAAAGGGTCTGCATAGAAGATCCCAATGGTCATAATTCTCATTCCACATGTCATCTAAAACAATCAGAAATTTTCTTCCCCGCAACTCCTCCTCGAGCTGCACTTGAAGTGAATTCCAATCCTTCGACTCATCGATATCGGAAGCAACAGCATGAATCAAGGTCTTTGTCACCTTAAGAACATCGAATTCCTCGGAGACACACACCCAGGCTCTCAACTCGAATGAAGCCTCAATTCGAACATCCTTGTAAACTAACTGAGCAAGAGTAGTTTTCCCTAACCCTCCCATACCTAAAATCGAAACCACACCGATTTTGCCTTCACCAATTTCTCCGCCATCCATCATCAACAAGTTCACAACGGCATCTGCATCACTTTCCCTACCATAAACACGAGACTCATCAACAAGAGAAGTAGTGACTCTCTGAAGCACCTTCTCAGACCCACCTTTAACAATCTCTTCTAACTTCAAAATCCTCTTTTGTACCACCAACTCATCCAATCTTGCAGTAATTTCTTGTATTTTCGGTTTGATTTCGGCATCAAACTTAATAATATTCATATTGATAGCACGGAAACACGATGGGACGATAAACTTCCATACCTTATTAGTGCTTGCCGAAGGCTGCCGAGTGTGCTCCGTTAATTTCCGCCGCAAAGCCTCGGTGGCGAGGTCGTCGACGACATCCTCGACATCAAAAGCAACATGCTGTAATTCGTCGAGCCAGTGTTCGACGGCAAGGCTCGTGATTTGCTTCTCTTCGGCATCCTCGAGCGAGGCATTCATTTTACGCAAGAGCTTCTGCCACTTGTTCATTTCGGCTGCGAGCTGCTCGTCGCGTGTGAATTTGAGGAAGTCGGGGGACGACAGAGTTTCGCATAGGGAGCGGAAGCAAGCGGAGAGCGCAGCATCAGCAACACTTGACACAATAACTTCCATCTCGATCTCTTTAAAGTGAGATGACCTGAGAGCAGACGAGGGAGAACAAGGAGACCACCGGAGATGAAAATTCCAGTGCCGTCCGTCCACTCCAAACTACCAACCCAAAAACTTGGCGAAACTAAGAATAATTAATCCTCTTGCTTTTAGCTCCACTAGAGAGGTGTGGCGTGGAAACTGAAGACCCCAACAACCAGAACTTTGGAACCGGGGCTAAGCTGGAAATTTCCTTCAGGGTCAAAATGAACGCACTCTTTTGTGTCGATTAAAGTATAATTTTACCACTATATTGATTTTGAAGAGAGTAAACGCAAATTTTCTTTTGGGTAAACTACGCATATAGTCATTTGATTTTCAGATCCTATTTCATCAACTTTAAATTTTTTAATTTTATCATTAAACTATCAAATTTTACTTTATTATAAGTCTTTAATGAAGTTCATTTTTTGGTAAGTTTATGCAAAGAGACTCCTAAAACTTTCTTCTCACATCCATATTTTTACTCAAATTCGAATGATGGACATATCTATGAAAAGTAATATATCTCAATTTTTAGGTTAATTAAACGTTGAAGATTGTGGGTTGATCCAAGGTAAAATTAAAAATTTGGTTTAAATTTCTTTGATTTCGAGAGAATTTTAAGGAAATCAACCAACAAATAATGAAAAATAGAGGTAGGTAGGAGAACATTTCGGTACTAATATATATTGCAAACAATAGTTGCTCATGGTGAAAAAAAAGTCAACCGCGAGAAAAAAAAAAGAATTAAATGTTCAGGCAATAAAAGGTTTAAAATATAATGTTTTGAATGTTTTTTTACATGATTCATGTTCGAATAATATTATCTGAGATTAAATAATCATTATTTTATATGCTATAATAAGAATATTTATTTTATTTTTTAATTATGTTAAGATCATATCATTAATCAAAGATATATTTTTGTATAAAAGAAATCAAATACATATTTATAATAAGAGTAATTATTCCATGTACTGCAACGTAAAAGAACTATTTTATAAGCAGAATTATATTATAATTTGTTGTCATTATGTTTGAGATATATTAAATAAAAAATTTACAAAAATATTAACGATATATTAGATTATTATTTTTTACCATTAATTACATATTTATATATTAACTTATCACATAATCATCAAATTTATTTATTATATTCAATTAGTTATCAGCTTTAGGAAAAGCTAATGTCCACTAGTGTGCAAAAAAAAAAAAAAACTCGTAATCGTTAATCGATATAACCATTATATTTAACAGATTAATTAACCAAACAGTTAATACTAAAATGTTTCGGTTAACTAAAAATGATTGTTAACGGTTACGAATTTTGATAAATTGTTAACCGTTAATAAATTAAATTTATAATTATATTTCTATTTTCTTATTTTTACACAAATAATTTAATATAATTTTTTATTATTTATAATATATATAGATATATTTAATAAAATTTATATACAAATAGCTTAATATATATATATATATATATATATATATATATATATTACTTTGAAAATATAGAAACATACTGTCGTAACGGTCCTTCAGGCGGTCCCGTGTTCGCACCTTTACTTGGAATTATGATGGAGTCGCTACTGATCACTTTGGAGTTAGGTGGATCGGACACCTTGATTTTGTCCGTTTACCGAATCTGCGTCTTACCAGTGATTTTGTCGAATTTGGGAGTCGTTTACGATCGGGAAATGATGAGCACCCCCAAATCGCTCTTTCAGTACCACAAGATTATCCGTTCATTTTAATTGCGAAAATTAATAACTTTAAATAAAAAAAATAAATTCGATTCAAATTACTTACCCTGACGAATTGGTTATTCAAAATAAAATAAATTAAGGGGTTTATAAAATAAAGAGAGAGAAAACTTGGATATGATATGGCACACATGAGGTAGACGAGTCACGGGTACCATTATATAAATGATAAATAATGTGATTTAAACAAAATAATTTCGACTAAACTTGAAATCTGAAAAAAAGGAAAATGTTGAAACTAAATGAATTATAAAGTAAAGAAACAAATCAAAATCAAAGAATCAGAATAAGACAAATTGTATTAAAACATAATAAGTAGAGCAATTAACAAATTAAAACAAAGTGTCAAAATCAAAACAGATAGCATACAATAAAAAATTAACAATAAAATAATTAAATTAAAATGACAATAAAATAAAACATGGCATGAATTGAAACATAATAAAAAAACAAAAAAAAACATAGCATAATAGAAAACAGGAAACGAACAAATGCATGAGTTATGTATGTATAATACGGCAACCAAACAAAACATTAAAATTAAACAGAAATTACTTAAAAAGAAAATAAAGGAAAGAAATAAACCAAAAAGAAATCCCGCATAAATTTATGAAATGTAAAACAATAACTACTCTATGATTTAAATTAAAACAAAAAATTAAACTAAAAGTAGCAAAGGGGTTAGAATAAAACAAAACAAAATCAAAGATTCAAATTAAAACAAACTAAGATTCAAATTAAAGCAAAGGGAGAAACCTAGTTATCTGTCTAAGTACGGAGGTAAGGTCCCTGAAAAATGACACCTCATCGATCCCCGCATCTACTGGTGCATATCTCTGAGTAGTATCTGAGACGAACTCGTGACCGGAATCTACTGCTAGTGAGGCGTGACTCTCTTCTCTGCCCTCCTAACTATGGGTTGAATCATCTGTCATGGGTTTTATTCTGAAATTAGAAAAAAGGGTTATTGTCATCATTCCAGCTGTTATAGTGTTCTTAACTCCCTAGAGGCATGTATAAATACAAATAATGATTGACTCTAACCCATGGGTCCAAGGAACGACTAAACCTGGATGCTTTAATACCACTAAATGTAACATCTTAATCTAGTTTGCTCCAAAGATCCATAGATTACAATGTTACACGAGACTACTGAAATAGTGTCCCAATTTTTTTCTTTAATAATTGTATATAATCACTGAAAATAAATCATCCATAGTGATAAAATAAAATGTAAAAAACTAGGTTTAGAAAATAATGAGGAGCTCCGAAAATACATTAACAAAATAATACAAAACACTGAGTTCCAAAAATAGTTACGACTAAATACATAAAAAAGGTTCATAACAGTATATGCCCTCTAAAGATGACTCAAGACGTACTCTGAAGGTCTGGAAATGTAGTCTGTTGTACTAGAATGTCTGCTGACAATAACTTCCCGTGAATTACACCTAAGAACCTGCACATAGAAATGTATTTTGAACGCGTAGCTTATGAGCTCAGTGCCTCACTAATAACTATACGAGACTATATGTGTTCACTAAATGAAATGGTACAAGGCACAGACCTGAGTATATAACTACTGAACTATTAATTTGTGGTTGGTATCACGGTGTGGCTAAGAGATTGTGCATCTCGGAGTTCGTACACCCCTTTAGCACTGTCGATGTACCCACGGGCACACTTGGGTAAGGTCTAAAATTCTGTATCGGAAACATACACTCGTCAACTTACTCCATCGAGTCTTGGGGCATCTGGCGCCCAGTCGGCGAAGAAGTGTTGTAGCACTGACTAGGATCCACTGACTGTCATATTCTGCTAAAGGGAACTCAAGTGTCTTTGATTGTTTTCTGAGCGTCAACCAATGCTAGTTTTATGTAAACCTACATGTTATTGTTTATACTATTCTAATATTATTTATTGTTATCGCTTGAAGTCTTATTTACTGTTACTCGGGTGTGTTTATGGTACCTCGGGTCTGATCTAAAATCCCTTGAATTAGTTATTAAAAATGTTCGTTAGTACCTATAATGGAAACCCAATATTGATACTGAGCCACTTGGTATCGATACCCACTTTTTGGTATCGATACCCGTGACTTGGTATCGATACTCTAAGTGAGTACCGATACCAAAATTGCATTATGGAATTTCAATCACGATACCAATATGATCAATATAAAGATCGAGACCCCAATACCGATATTGTATGAATGAGTATCGATACTCCCCTTTGAAAATTGCTTATTTTAAGCTTGGCTAAAGAACATTATCGATTTTGTTCTTACAGTATCGATACTCCTGCTACAAGAGGGCCCTGTTTTGGCTCGAATAATCCTATCTTTCTACCCCAAAACCCTAATAAGGTCCCCAATTGATAATTAAGTGTTTTATATGATATAAGGGGTCATAAATAGGTCTGAAAAAAATGTTGAAACACCCAAATCATGCCTCTACCATGGAAATGCTTCAAGCTCATGCAATCCTACTTCATTTCATCTAAACGACTTACACATAGTAAATTTGAAGTGAGTTACCTGAGTGTCTAATCTACTAGAAAGGCAATAGCTCAACCCAAGGTAAACTTTCCTTCCCCTAGCTTTGGAGCTTTCTCCAACATCTTTCTCTAAACAAAACAAATGCATGGGTTACCATATTATTCTAGGTGCTTAGAAAGGTTTAAAAACACTTCTAAAGGTCTAAATTTTTTGCAAATTGAATTGAAACTCAAAGGTTCCTTAAACCCTCTTAAAACCCATTTTTATAAAACCATGGCAAAACCCTATGTTTAGGGGCTTAAAATGGAGCTAGAGGTGAAAGGTTTATGATTCTTACCTTAGCTTGTCCTTAAAACACTTGAAAATCTATAAAGTCTCTAGCTTTCTAACTTGATTGAAGGAAAAGATGAAAAGGAGAGAGACAAGATGACAGGAGTTGGTGAAGGAAAATGAGAGACATGCTTCAAATGTGATATCACCCATTTTAATGGGTTTTCAGGCTTTTCAAATTAAATTTGTAAAATCACCTCCTTGGTCCTTCTGATTCTGGTTGCAACCTGGTTTCACCCT